AGAAGAGTGAAGACCAAACAAGGGGGGAAAAAGTAAAAACCATTACTTTAACACATTTATTTTCTCAAGGAGTGTACCCCAATTCCCAAGACTCTGAAATGCTCTATTCAGAAACACAGACGCACCTGTGAATTCATTTACCAGGAGGAAGACTGACTGCTTGATGTCTCAGCACTCTGGATTTCCATTTTACTGAGGTTCAACCCCTAATCGAGTGTGTGTTTCACCTGGGACTGCCAGCTCCTGGCTTGGAGACTGGCCTCTGGCTTCCTACATGCTTAATTTTGCTTGAGTCTTTTTCCACGTCTTAAAATCTCAACTCATTCATTTTGGTTTGGTTCTCCATTTCAGTTTGATCTCATGTTTGAGAGGAGGCGATACCTTTAGGTCGATGAGCAGAGAGGAATTTGTTATGTAGGGATGACCTCCCGGGCTCTTTACAGATTTTCGTGCTCAGAACCCTTGCTCCAATGCCAGCTGAGGAAGCAATGCACGCTTAAGACACATTTCCAGCTGTAAAACTCAACAGTGAAATCCAAGTCTATATGTAGTAAACACATAGTTAATTGACAAGTCTATTCCTATTGCACCGCACGTCTTGCTGATATAGACAAAACCTAAACCTAGGATGAATTCCAGGCATTGGACTTTGACTGACTTCAACTGCAGAGCTCATCACACTAGAAAGTCATAGTACAAGACCACTAGATGAGCCCTGCAGAAGTGTTAGTGCCTCCTTATTAGCAAAGTGCAATACACCAGTGACATGGCAGTAGCATGGTTTGAAATTTTTTAAGACAAAATAAAAAAAAAAAAGAACCTCAAAATATCTGACCAAAGACAGATATTAAAACAACAACAACGGCATTTTTGGTAGTAGTCCTGTCTTCTGCTGTGTACCATCCTACACAGTCTGGCCTCACTGTGTGATAGCCCTGCTTTTAATGATCCAGCTAACAGTCTAAGCAGAGTGCCACACTGTCATGTCAAACCCAGATGTCTGCCAAGTTACCTTCAGCATTCAGGCTGTTGCAGATACCAGTCTGCAATGCCTTAGCTCTCCCCTACAATTTATAAGGAATGTGAGATTGTAAAAGACCACAGTGGAAGTTTGTATCCCTGTGCAGCAGCATACCTCACCGTTCTGTACCTGGAGCAGCATAATATGCCCGTGTTCACTGCTCTGCCTCTACTCATTAATGTAAGCTGACGTCAATGCTCTGTTTAAGTGAAGTGGGCTAAAGAATGGACACGTTTTCTGGTGTTCCTTCTGGTGAATTAGCCTTTTCAGCTAATATGGCCAGGGCACCTTTTGGCCTAGGAACTTAGAATCCTTGATCAGCTAATTTCTGGTTGAAGGACTTGGAAATGAAGTTAATGAAGCACCGTGGGACTAGGTACTGAGCACAAAAAAAAAAAAAAAAAAAAAAAAAAAAAAAAAGTTAAAAAGTTTTATCTTTAGATTAATACTCCAGAGGGATTTAACCCCATTGGGTTCTGTCTGCATTTATTCAAGCAAAAAGTAACACAGAGGAAACTGAGATTTTGTGAAAAGTTTGGTGCTGTTCAGCATTCTTCAAGTAGTTGAGAAGTTCACCCCAATTAGAAGCTCTGAATTACTGCTTTCAGCCGTTTTATGCATAGCCTTCGGTGTGTCTCAGCTTGGACAAGACATTAAGATTCTTAAATACACAACAGCAGCAGCCAAAGAGCAGTGGAAGAGCTCTTTTATTATTATTATTATTATTATTATTATTATTATTATTATTATTATTATTATTATTTACAGCCGTGATAAATTCATAAAATATTATGCTTGTTCCTATACAGAATTATATAGCTCACTTTGCAGGCAAAACATTTCACTAAAACAAAAATAGTAAATAAACCAAAAAGTAGGAAAAGTTAATCCCTCTCCTTTCTCCATGGTTTAGTGGATTTTTTTTTTTACTAAAGATACTAAAATTAAACTAAAATATACTAAATACTAAAAGATACTAAAAGATACTAAATTTTTACTAAAGTACTACTACGAGTACTGTGTTCAGTTTTTGGCCCCTCACTACAAGAAGGACATCGAGGTGCTTGAGTGGGTCCAAAGAAGGGCGACAAAGCTGGTGAGGGGCCTGGAGAACAAGTCCTACGAGGAGCGGCTGAAGGAGCTGGGCTTGTTCAGCCTGGAGAAGAGGAGGCTCAGGGGCGACCTTATCGCTCTCTACAGATACCTTAAAGGAGGCTGTAGAGAGGTGGGGGTTGGCCTGTTCTCCCACGTGCCTGGTGACAGGATGAGGGGGAATGGGCTAAAGTTGCGCCAGGGGAGTTTTAGGTTAGATGTTAGGAAGAACTTCTTTACTGAAAGGGTTGTTACACATTGGAACAGGCTGCCCAGGGAGGTGGTGGAGTCACCATCCCTGGAAGTCTTCAAAAGACGTTTAGATGTAGAACTTAGGGATATGGTTTAGTGGGGACTGTTAGTGTTAGGTTAGAGGTTGGACTCGATGATCTTGAGGTCTCTTCCAACCTAGAAATTCTGTGATTCTGTGATTCTGTGATACTAAGAGGTTGTTTGTTTGTTTGTTGTTGTTTTTCCTTCTCTCTGAACTGTGAGGAATCTATGGAAGTATGATTTTTTTTTTTTTCTGATTCATTCAACTGAGGAAACAAACTCTTATTTGAGGTGCATATCAGATGGTGTTTTGAGTAAGATTGTCATTTTACATGCCATTTAGCATGACACAGCTTTCCTTAGGTCCAACTGAAATGATTTTTATGTGACTATTTTATGTAGGAACTGTACTTGCTGGGTGATGAGAAACCTGTTTGTATGTTAAGGTGCTGTTCAGATACAGATAGATCAACTTCTGTGATACTTTCTTTCGATACACCTGCAGGATTACTACCTTATTCTCTGTTAGTCCTTCTGCATGTGCAAACGTAGTCACATTAATTTACAACAAATAAAGCTTTTGCATACTTGTGGGCAGGGTTCTTGATGTCCCTACTGGATGGAGTGAGCATTCTGGGAATTGACTCAGGTTTTTGAGTTGGGGTTGGGTGGGAAGAAGGCCTCTCAGTGGCATTTTTTGCAGTAGCCTTTCATTCCTCTGAGTCACAAATCACCAGGGTGATTAAGACAGGAAGTTCCAAACTGTTTTAGTTATAGCATAAGGCTAAGGAGACACCAGTTACTCCCCTTATGACCCACTAGAGGAACAGTCTGTTTTGAGCGGAGGTACAAGTTGCTCTAGTGTCTGAGGACAACTTTTGTAGCTTATCAAATAAAGGTGAGTTATCTAGAGATAACGGTTGCTAGTCTTTGTTACAGTTTCAACTGTGAGAGAGAGGATTTAAAGCAGATGCTCGAGTACACAGGTCTGCTGTGGAGCTGATGACAGGTTTATGTGTCAGGATTAGAAGGGAAGCCAGCAAGAGGGACTTCATGCTGTCTGTCCGCAACTGACTGCTCACTCAAGACAAGAAAAATAAGGAAGCCTTTTTTTAAATAACTGGAAGTCTTATAGTTGCAGCCCCTTCAACATGGGAGTGCATAAGCATAGGAACAGGCTAGCAAAAGATGGAGCTCAAAATTTCTTGGAACTTTTCACAATGTCTGTACAAAGCCCTTGTGACCTGATATAACCTTGAAGTTAGTCCAGCAGGCGTTTGGTCCAAATTGACCTCATGGGTTTCTTTTCAACTTTTTTTTTTTTTTTTTTCTGTAATTTTAAGGGAGAGTTGCTTGTGGATTAATATGCTGTCTGCTTTGTAAATATTAAATATCTGTGTTTCACTGTTATGTATTTGCCATACAGGCAGTGAAATGAAAAGACTTGCCTAGCTCCCAAGGGCTCCGTAGGTTTAATTTATTTTGAAAAAGTGAAGAAATTCATGAGTTCCAAGTCTCTATTATGCTATAGAACCACTCACTAATTAAATCTGAAGTGTTTCTGATAGAACTTATTATTAAATGTTTCATGAGAGAACTAAATGAGGTGTATTGTTGTAAAGTGTCAATAGAAGAGAAGAAAATGAAACCTTAAAGTTTGTTTTCTATTTCACTTAGAAAACTTTTCTTACAATTTATTCTAGCTTCATATTTTTAAACTATTCAAAATACCAGCTTCTTACTTTTTACTGATACAAGGCACAGAAATAATACCTAGGTTTAAAACTTGTGTTTTCTTTCCTTCTATATACTTTTCTGGTTGTATATGCAACAGGATTTGTATGGATGAAAACTTTTACATGCTGCTTTTACATGCTGCTTTTGATCTTCACTACAGGGCTTCTGAAATGTCCCATTCTGCAAGCTGCCACATACACCTATCTATTTGAGACAAAACTTGAGCTTTCTTAATATGGTAACAGTTTATCCCAGCCACAGTGTTGCAAGGTGAGGAAGGATAAAGTTATGAAAGATGCTGAACTTTTTTAATAGCTTGGCATACCAAGCAAAGGAGCTTTTGCTGTTTACTTCTGCTCTTGGCTTCACAGGTCACTTCTCTCCTACTTGTGGTGCTCAATGGGCTGCATATTTCATTAGGTTTCATCAGTATTCAGTTTGCTGCTGCATTATAATCACAGAATGGTTTGGGCTGGAAGGGACCTTAAAGCCCATCCAGTTCCAACCCCCTGCCATGGGCAGGGACACGTCCCATCAGACCAGGTTGCTCAAAGCCCCATCCAGCCTGGCCTTGAACACCTCCAGGGATGGGGCAGCCACAGCTTCTCTGGGCAGCCTGTGCCAGGGCCTTACCCTATGAGTAGTTTCTTCCAAATATCTAACCTCACTCTCCCCTCTTTTAGTTTAAAACCATTACCCCTTGTCCTATCACTGCACCCCCTGACAGAGTCCTTCCCCAGCTTTCCTGTAGCCCTCTGTAGGTACTGGCAGGCCACTGTAAGGTCTCCCCGGAGCCTTCTCTTCTCCAGGCTGAACAACCCCCACTCCCTCAGCCTGTCTTCACAGGAGAGGTGCTCCAGCCCTCTGATTATGCTCGTGGTCCTCCTCTGGACTCTTTCTAATACTTCCATATCCTTCTTGTGCTGGGGGCCCCGGAGCTGAATGCAGGGCTCCAGTCAGGGTCTCACAAGAGCAGAAGGAGGGGGACAATCCCCTCCCTCGACATGCCATTGGATTGACCCATGAAGGATCTGGACAAGCTGCAGCCCTGGCACAAGGTGATGTGGGGGATATCTGCCTCTTTTGTGGCAGCAAGATGTTAAATCGGTTCAAACTTGTTTGTGTTGATGTCACCATGATAACATAAATGGATTGTAATTAATTCAGAATTCACTTACGAAGGCTGAAGTGCTTTGAATCTTGCTATGGATTGAGAATGAGTTCTTACAGAGAAGCAGTTTATTCTGTGGATATTTTCAGCTCTTTGACTTCCCAGGACATTGATCTTTCATGTGCAGCAAGCACAGGTTCTTCAGGTGATTCTTCTAACCTCACTGGCACAGAATGGGATGCTGATGTGGAAAACAGAGAATGGAGGAGGGCTAAAGATGTACACATGGAAATCCTCTGTTTTTAGAGCATAGCTGGGACCAAAATATGTGCCTTTCTGGACTGAGAAATCAATAAACTGCAACCTAGTTATGTTACAACTGTTTCAGGATGAGATTTCCTTATAGCTGCACGGGAGTGCTCCAAAGGCTGTTGGTATTCTAGTTTTTGCATGTTACAGGAGTGAAGGATAAGATTATTTATTTATTTATTTATTTATTTTAATATGCTTATCTACACAGACTTGTATTGTACTGCCTTTTAAATAGCCCTCTCTACTGATGGTGAGTCATAGCTACCCAATACATATTCTTTGAATTTTACAAGTAGTCATGTTGCTGTGATTATCACTGTTATATGTGCTTTGGCAATTTTGTCTGTTCCTAGCTGTTTATTCTTTCTGATCTTCTGTTGCAGCTGGAAGAGATTTGGTGTATGTAGTCAGAGGCAGGGAACCATTTCAGTTCTGTTGATGAACAAGACACAGTGGCTTTAAATTTTAAAAACAAGTTAAAAATAGGCACCACTGTTCTGGACATTTTTGTTTGTTGTGTGATTACATCGTAATGCAAAGTATGAAGCTTATTTTTTTAATAGTTTCCTGTTCTGAATTTCATCTCAGAAATAAGAGGCTAATAATTCCCAGTGGGATCTTTTGTGGTCAGACATAAGACATAATATTTGCTCCAGAAGTTTGCAATGTCTGTTTCAATTTTTGTCCTATTCCAGATTATTCTGTGATTGGAGATATTACCTTATTTTGTTTCCTTTTAGGACCTCGTTGTTCAGGAAAAAAAAAATAAAAATAGACTATGTGGCTGCAGATAACACCATTTCTCCTGGTTAGTTTGAAGCAGGGTGCTTCTTTTAGCCTTCACTGAATCTGACGTACAGTGTTTTTCTGACTTGCCTGAGGTCGCTGTATTAGACAGGAAGGTCTCTGGTTTCCCAGCCCTGTATCCTGACCACAAGACTACAGTAACTCCCCTCAACCCAAAGCCTGTAGTATTCCTTAAGTCTACACTTGACTTTCAGATGATGATCTAGCTACTTGGTCTTTGCAAGTGCTGGTACTGCAAAAACAAGTTGTTTTGATGGAGGTAGTTGTACACTGTGTGCATGCAGAAAAAAATGCTATCAGGGAAAGTTCCACTTCCACGATCATGATTTCTGCTGTCAGCAAAAAGTAGGGAGTTTTTTTTGTTTTGTTTTGTTTTGTTTTGTTTTGTTTTTCCCTTTCTCTGCATATTTCAAGTGATGTCTTTCTTTGAAAAATATCCCAGTGGCTCAAATAAGCTTCTCCTCCAAACAGACATCTAAATACTTCACTGACGTTCAGTGCTGCATACAAATTGGTAGCGTAGGCCTGAATCTCAACAGTCTTATTCTCCGGTCACTTCAAAAAGAAACTGTGCTGGTGTGAAATGGGAATAATACACAAGAAAATCAGACTTCTGGACTTTCTGTGATCACTATGTGAAGGACAAATTGAACTACACACAACCTCCTGATAAAAAAAGCAATTGAGAGGGCAATAAAAAGATATACAGCTGCAGAAAAAATAGGAGGAAAGGCCAGAGTTCAGATTGGAGACAGAAGTTGAAGAAAGGCAAGACAAGAAATAAACAACTCTTTAAAATAACTCTTGTGAAAGTCCTGCAGTGTAAGGGGAAAAATGTTTTCTCCTGCCCTGACCTCTAAATAGAAGTCATTGGTTCTCTGAGACTCGATGTGAAAAGGAAGCGCTAACATCTGTTTCTGTGTGTTCAATCAGTGATTTTGATATTGTCTGAAGAAAAAAAAAATCTCATAAAGAATTCAGTCACGTTAGCTGGCTACCCCTCAGTAAAAGGAAGGCCACCTTCTGCTGAACATTTTTGTGCTGAGAATGCATCACTCGAGCAGAGCTTGAAACAAGCACTAATTTAAATTGACTGAATGAAGGTCTGGCACTGCTGTGGTTCACTTAAAATCACCATCTGCCTTTCAACCATCAAATATGAGGTCAATGAAATTGGTGGCTCTGAGGACACCTGCCATGTCTACTGTTATTTTGTCTTTGCATGTGAATGGTGGGCGTGAGAGGGCAGGTCCCATTCATGTCTATTGTTTATTTGTGTTTATTTCCTTTGCCGAATATTGTTATCCTTGGAAAAGATCTCACTATGTATGAGGTGCAAGCCAAGAATGCTCCCTGCACCTTTGTGGAAGGACGAAGTACAAGGATGCACAGCAATTGGTGTGGGGGGATCAGTTGAATGTGTTGTGCGGATACTACTGGCAACACAGCATTTAGCTCTGTGAAAGCATTTAGTGTAATGCCATTTAACTTGGGTTATTTCCTTTAAGCAATTTGATAGTTAAGCTGATATAGACTTTAGTTTTTGTTACTGAAAGACTACTAAAACAAACCCATTGATGAAAACCTACAGGGTCTTTCTTGGATGCTAAGAAGGAGATCGTAAGTTTGGCTGCATTCTGCATCCAAACCTGTAAATATGGTCAGCTGAATAAGTTTACAATAGTTTTCTGTACAAGTATCTGATATTTCATAGATGGTGTTATTTGTGTTACATAAGCATCTGCAGCCTCAGATCACAGAATCACAGAATTGTAAGGGTTGGAAGGGACCTCAAGAGATCATCAGGTCCAACCCCCCTGCCAAAGCAGGTTCCCTAGAGCAGGCTGCCCAGGGAGGCATCCAGACGGGATTTGAATATCTCCAGAGAAGGAGACTCCACAACCTGCCTAGGCAGACTGTTCCAGTGCTCCATCGCCCTCACCGTGAAGAAGTCCTTTTGCGTGTTTGTGTGGAAGTTCCTGTGCTCCATCTTGTGGCCATTACCCCTTGTCCTGTCCCCACAAGCCACTGAAAAGAGGTTGGCCAAATCCCCCTGTCTCCCACACTTAAGATGTTTGTAAACTGATAAGATTCTCTCTCAGTCTTCTTTTCTTGAGGCTGAAGACAGCCTTTCCTCATAGGGAAGATGTTACATGTCCCGTATCACCTTTGTGTCCCTCCGCGGGGCTCTTTCCAGGTGATCCCTGTCTTTTTTGTACTGTGCTCAGAACTGGACACAGTACTCCAAGTGAGGCCTGACCAGGGCAGAGTAGAGGGGGAGGATCACCTCTCTTGACCTGCTGGCCATGCTCCTTTTAATGCACACCACGCTCCTTTTAACGCACATTGGCCCTGTTGGCCACCAGGGCACACTGCTGGGACTGGTGCTATGCCTACACAGGGGTGCCTGTGAAATATGGCACCATATCCATCCCTGTAGAACACGTACTGGATTAAAGGGTTTATACCTTAGTATTTTACCAGAAGGTGTAATCATTCCTTCCTCACATGAAGAGCTTAAATAAAGATGGCCTGACTTACTATTGCATTTCATTTAGTCCTTGGAGAAATTGTGTTCTCTGCTCCAAACCCACAGGGTGACTCCCTCAGACTGTGCTGCACAGGGGGTTATAAAAAGAAAGGTTGCCAATAGCAACTTGTTCTTCTGCTGGAACAAGCCAAAGTTATTTGAAAAGACAGCATAGAAATAGGGAAGCTGGGGAGAATGAATGGAAAGCCTTTGTGTTGTTGTTTTGAAAATACAAATGAAACAGCCTTATTTTGCAGTGCTTTTGATAGGAAAATGAAAATGAACAAGCCCTCCTACAGAAGGTTTCATGGGATTGCATCCTGGCTAGCACCAAACCTTGGACACTAGCCTTCCTCGCAATGGCCAGGTCATCAGTCCTTCTTATGCTCTTGGCCACCTATCGCCCTGAATCTCACAGTCAAAGACCACCGTTGGTTGGTACAAAGCCTCTACAGGATATAGTGATGTGGTGGTATGGGGGTTGCAATGTCTGTAGGGCTGGTGTCCTAGCAGATGATGGGAACTGTATGAGTATCTTGTTTGTTTGTGTGCAACTACTTTTAAGTCTTTTTAGAGATGGTTTGCGGGGAAGAAGCTACATGAGGGAAAATGCGGGTGAGATCCATGGAAACCAAAGGTAAAAGAGAATAACAGCGTTCCTGAGAAGTTTCATGTGTAAGTAATGGGTCTTGGAATAACTTATTCATGTTCCTAACCCTGATGGAAGAGAAAATGGTGACAACACAATCTTTAAAAACGCTGGTAAGAAAGATATAATTAATACTTCCTTATTTTCCTGTACTTTTCATGCTGAGCCACCAGATGGCGACCACAGACTGCCTACAGATCTGAACCTGTTCACCTCCTGTTTATTTAACTTCTGTGACCTGAGATGGTAGCCTGACAGGACTGCTTTGCTTTCAAAGCAAGCAAAAAGAAATACACCTATAAAATGAACGTTGCAGGTTTGGTTCTGCTTTACACTGATACTTTCTTCATATCAGTGCAGCTACAGCATTTACAACTTGGGAACGTGAGGAATCAGGCCTGCTGAAGCTGTATGTGTGCAAAGATGTGCCTACGTAATGCATTTAAAGCCAGAGCAGTATTTGTTTGTAGAGGCTGTAGTTATGTTCTTCTCATACCTTACAGCATCTGGTGTGACCAGCTATACTGAAGCATTAAATCTCATGCATTCAATGTCAGAACCTCTTTCTTTCAACCCCATTCATTCTTCATTTAGTCTTTCCTATCCCTTCTTTCCTCCTCCATCACTCCTGCTGATGCTTGGAGCATGCTTTCCATACGGAACCTTCTAGGATACCAGCTCCTTGTCACAGCCCAGCCATTCACCCCTGTACATTAATGTTTAAAAAAGCCTCTGTTCTTCCACTCTTTCATCATCAATAGAATGAAAGTTGAAATCTGTCCTACACACATTGAAAGCAAATGCTCAAAATCTTTTTTTTTTTTTTAAGGAGGTGATTTGCAGGCATCTCCAGGCTAAGCAGGGGCATGCCGCGGATCACAGGGCTTATCGGCGCAGAACGTGAGACAGCCCAGGTATGCGAGGTTAGTAGTGTTACGGCATTCACTGAACAAAGAACATCACTCAAGCCTATTGTTTTTCTGAGCTTGTAGAGCTGGCTTTAACACTGGTGGCTACTTAATTTGGGAATTATTGTCTAAGGAGCACCCAAGAATAGCAGCACATGAAGCTGAGATTTCCTGTGAGCTGCCAGATGTGTGCTTTGCATTTGGCTTTTGTTTTGCCTGGTTGCTGTGGGTTTTTCTCAGCTGGCAGGATTTAGGGAACATACAAAAAGACAACGTTTTAATACCCTTGCTGCTCCAACAGATAATTTGAGTAGGCAGCCTGGGAGGGGTTATACATTGCAGAGACATGCATGAAACAAAAGGAGTCCTAGTGACTAAATGACATTTGTTTATTTCCAGAGGAAATCTCTCTGTGTTTGTGGAGTTTCTCTGGAATTCTTACATGTAAAGAAGGGCAGCAAATAGCTTTCTAAACCTAACTGAATTTTGGTCCACTTTTAGAGTATTGAACTAAAAGAACTGTGGGTTTTTATGTTTCTTTAAACACCTTTTTGAGTGTTTTTTGTTTGTTTGTTTTGTTTTGTTTTTTAAAGCCTTCAAAGGAAGTTTAAATGCAAAAGAAAAACTTGCATGGGGGAGTGGAAGACAAGAAAGGATACTAGAGCTTCCCCCAGACTGGTTTGTAAGGTAGAATTGTGCAGGGTACAGTGAGTGTGATGCCATCTTTTTCTTTTCTTCAGTCACCATGTGATGTGGAGGAGCAAAGGGAGGGTTTCCTCCTTGATGCAGAACTATTTCCCTACAGGTAAGTCTGATCACTCTCAGAAAGCTCCTGGCTTAGCAGGGTCTAGAGTCACCAAGGTTTCTCTGGGCTGATAGAAATCCAGTCACACCAGCTTAATGGAAAATTACATTTGAGTACTGGGATCACTGGACCTTGTAGAAAGACAGCATGCTCCTTAGCAGAATCCTGTTGGACTGTAAGTCTGTAGCTGAAGTGCAGCACCACAGGCTCTTCACTTGCTCTGTTTACTTGATGGAAAGGTGCAGAAAGGTGGTGGGTTGCAGCTCAAGTCAGCTGGTAGCATCCAACATCTTAAGTTCGTTAGCAAAAAGGAAGCTGTGGTGATGTAGCTTGATGTATCATGCACAAAGTGAAAGCCACTTGCATAAGTCCCTCATACTTGCACCCGTTCTCTTACGCACTGACTTAGAGTGCAAGAGGCTGAAGCAGGGTACGGTCTTGGATCAGCAAGCAGCTATATTGGTTTTCTTACCCTAGGCTTTAATTTGGGGACTGCTCTTCCAAAGGGATGTGGCTGTGAAGCTGGTTCGGAAGAACTGAACTTGTCTCAGTTCTACCTTAACCAGCAGCCCACACATTTGGTACGCTGCATGGATGAGAAATCACAGGCCCACTTGTTTCCTTCCCACATATTTCATTCGCTGGTAGCTTTTCTGAAAGGCTTTACCATTGACTGCTTCCTGACCTACTTTATTTCACATGTGGAGACTGGGAAGGATTTCAGGAGTTACTGTTCATTCTCTGCTGCAAGAAAAACCCAGCAATTTTATTTTTGTCTTAGGAAAACAGAATATTACTCACGTCCTAAGGCAAGGTCATCATTTGCCTTTGGTTTAGGTAATTTGAGAGAACATGACTATTAGAGTTTTTGCTTTGAGTATTAACTGCCAGTCCTATGCTCTGGCGAAAGATGCTGCATCCCTGTATCTGCAGGATGTTTTGAGTCCAGCATGGGTACCCAAAGCTGCTGTGTTTCCCATCTGGAAGTGTTTGGTCTTGAATAGCTAAACTAATGTTAATTGCTGTTAGAGCTCTTGACAGTTCCTACTGTCTATAAAAACAGCAGCTAAAAGGAATTTCAGACAGTTGAGATTATAAAACTGGCCGTTGCTGCTGTGCAACATCATGATTCATAATAAAAAAAAATGTTTTTATTCAAGTTAGCATTGTGCTGCAGCAGTGTTAAAACCAGACCTCCTAGAATGTATATTGGGTAATTTATAGACCTCTACTAGCTGCTGTATGATAGACTTCTTCACTTTCTATAGACAGATACATGGGAAAGAGTGAACATGTTATATTGCTATTACTTAAGAGGGACACAGGCTATAGAGCACTGAAAGAGCTGTAAATTACTTGTCAGAGTCCTCTTTGCTGCAACACCAAAGTTATTCTTAAAAAACTGAATTTGCAATGGTGCTGTCTACGCAAGGCTTATATTATGAAATATCCTTCATGGTGCTAAGTGCTTTGGCTGGGGCTGGGAGAGATCTTTTTCTGTGAGATGAAGTACTCTAGCAAACTTCTTTATCTGGTACTTCCCTGGGCTGTTGGGGTACTTCATCATTTCAGGAATGGAGCTGTTACTAAGGCTGGTGCTGTGGTGCCTAGACAGCCAGTACTTTTACCAAAATAAATGTTTGTGAGGCTCAGTTTGACCACTGTTCCTGGCCCATTTCAGGTCCTGATCTTAGTGCCTCAGGATCTGGTTGTGTAAGGACTGTACCCTTGGACCTTTTTGATGTGCTCAGTGCTGCATGGCAACAGAAGAGCTCAGCAGTTATTTTTACCAGATGTTATACATGAGGAAATTCCATCTTGCATACTTGTTTTTTTAGAATAGAAACATCTTGAACTTTTATTATTATTACAGAAGATATCTGTTTATATTCCAGTGAGCAATGTTGGTGCTACTGCAGGGATCGCATGAAAACGTCTCTGCCCTTACATCCCTATCAGCTGTATCCTTTACAGTGTGTGCTCTTACATCTTATTCCTGCTTCTCATATGCCACACTGGGATTGTGTTTGGGGAGAATGTTATCTAACAACTGCCACAGAAGCCTGTGCTAAGGCTTTCAGAAAGGGCTAGTTATTACCAGTATTCAACTGGAGAGGAAGCAAAATACCTTATCTTTTTGTTGCTGTTGTTCATCCACTTTTGGCAAATCAGTTTTGTGAATGTTTTGTATCTGGAGATCCTGTCTGGCTCCAACTTTCTATGTGAACTAGAAAATGTTTCCCTGTGTTATTTTTGGTATTCATTCTTCTGTAGAATAAAACACAATTTTATTCAATTTTCAATTTCATTCACATAAGTGTATAAAACCAGTCTTCAAATGAAAATTGTTACAGTGAAACAGATCTTTCCACACCCCACACACATCACCCCCCCCTCACTTATTCATACGTTTACAACTATGTATACAGGACAGTAGAGCAAAAGATGAATGTTATCAAGCTAGAAAAGAAAGACTGCTTCTGCAATGATAGCAATAGCATAGAAATTGTACCTATGAAGATCTTACTGAATAACATAATTATTCATTGCAACCAAGGGAGGGAGCAGAAAATGAGATGGGCAGAGCTGAAGGGGTCTGTTGAACAGCCTAAACCAGCAAGAAGTTGGCTAATCAGATTTGCTGCTTTGAATTACACCCCAAAATAATTTAGAGGGTGCTTTTCTTAAAGGACTGCAGTGTCTTGTGTCCATGTTGCCATAAAGAAATCCTTGTGGTGTTCCAGGCCCGTGGGCAGGGGATGTGAATGGTGCTGGGGTTAGAGATGAGTGCTGCAGTCAGGTCAAGGAGCATTGTGTTGTTGCTTAGACCTGTTCTCTAATGTGTGCGGTGGGCTTCTAACATACTGTAGAGCTGTGTGAGCCATGGATTCCTCAGTACATGAAAGATGAGAAATGAGCAGAAGATGAAGACATCCCAAACCAGAATATTGTCCACTGTACAGTGACGTAGCATCCTTTTCTTTTATGCAGCCTACGCTACCCCGTCTCCACCACTGCCTCACTCAGATAACCTAGCTCCCCCAGATCAGACTGTTTTATAAATGAGATCCTGTTCTGTTTGAGGTCAGCAGATCTAATTAGGTTGAGGCAATTGCTTTCCAGTGAGTCCAGGTAGAAGTTACTTTTACAGAACTTTACATCAGGAGGATGAGGACTTGCTCCTTTCATGGCCAAAATCTGTGACCTAGATATTTAAAAGAGCTTTGAACAGTTTTATTATTTTTTGAATGATTCAGGGAAACAAAAATCAAACAAAAATAACATTTGACTTTTAATTCTATTTATATTCATTCACTATCCTTGTTCCTATAGTGTCTGACCTCCTTTTAGTTAAAAATATGACTAAAACCTAATGCGTGTGAGGCTCCCTATTTTCTCTCCTTGCAGGAATTTGCAGTTGCATACTCTATCCACCTGACATTTCGATATTCCTGAATATACTCTGTCTTATTACACTGCCTTGGTCATTTCTGGTAGTAATGTTAGTAGTATTGTAGCATTGCTGCAATACCAACCTTATTTATTTATTTATTTATTTATTTATTTATTTATTTATTTATTTATTTTGTGCCTTCATCTTTGTCTGGTCCTTTACATTACACCCCAAAATAGGCACATATGAATTGATAAACTATTGATAAACCAATATAATAATAAATAAACAAACAAAAAACAATATAATAAAAAACCAAAATAAACCAATTGATAAATCCAAATCTACTTCTTGGTACACCTTCCATAGTGAATTTCTGCTGACCGTTGAGCATGTATTCTGATGTCACACTTTCAGAGTACTTTTCATGATGATTTCCAGAGCAGTGATATTCAGATTAGAACCCTTTGAATTGCAATTTCAAATAACAGTGAATAACAGTGAACAGGGAACAACAGACAGAAGATGTTCAGTTTCTAGATCAGGTGCCATTTATAGGAGATGATTCAGTTGAATGGTCAGACGCCTCTCTTGCATCCTGTTTGAATAACATTTACAAACTTAGTCCTGCTTTTATTAAAGTCAATGACAAAACATTGTAATGAAAGTAAAGCTACACCTCTTTGTTTGAAACTTATTTTAGGATTGCTGCCAAAGCCTGCAAACTATATGAAGAAGTCTTGATATAATGCAGTCTAATGCTACAGTATAGATTCAGCTTTAATTTTTGTTGTATACATCACATGTATTCATTTTCTTGAATGTTTTTTAAATAACAATGGTGAAAGCATTTGTTTCATGTACAATGAAACTTCCCTGTGCAGTGTTTGCAGCCCGAGAATTGCAGTTGGGATAAGAGCCAAGAAGTGAAACTAGTAAGAAACAAATGAGCAATTCATCAGTAACAGCAATACTGCTTCAAATATACAATTGCATACTTGGAGTGAAGTCAGTTAGCTCTTGACAAACTAAGGAGATGGGAATTTTTTTGTGGGATTACAACATTACATTAGGAGATTTACAAGTTTTCTTGTAGAGCATAGTCTGGATGGGGCTGTCCCTCCCACAATTAAGGTTGCCTCGGATGGTTTGTTTAGATAAGAGTAGGATCAGATTTGATAGCTTTTTTAAAAGCAGGACTAACCACTTTTGCTCTCCAGGACTCATGTGTATGTCTTATGAGTAGTTTAAGTTTGAGGATTTTGTCACAAAGTCTCCATTACGATTAAAGCTGTCACTAACTGAAAGCCAGGCCAAACTCAAAAAGATTTTCAGTTATAGTCTATCATTCTGCCAACATCCCTTTCTTGCAGGGCATTTACACTGCTTGTTACAAGAGCCATCAGAACTGACTAGCAGGAGCACTGTCAGTCTTTTGTGAACTTTGCAAAGATGTGCTTCCCTCTCTTCAGAAAGGGTAGAAAGAGCCGAGAAAATGTTCGCAGTGGAATGAGTTTGGGTTTTAGTGTTTTTCTTTGGGAGGTGGCGTGCACTGACTGATAAGAGTTTGGAGACAGTAAAGTACCTTTTTTTTTCTGACAAAACGGAGTGGAAAAATATCAATCAGTTTCCCTGGTGCCAAGCTCTGGAGTTACCTGCTTTCTGTATTTCTACTTTCCTCTGCTATTTTCCTTTTTATGCCTTGGGAACTACACTGAACAATGGACTTTTAATGCCTTTTTAAGTAATTTCTCTTCACCATTCAACACAATTTCTACAAGAATTAAGTAGAAATTAAGGGTTGAGTCACTGAATCTTAGACCATTTCAAGAAGCATCTTCATTCTGTACCATTTTTCCCTCAGTCATCTTATTCAATGTAGTCTTATTCATTATTCAATGTCTCATTTTTTAGTTTATGAATTTCTTAAACCCACCATGGTAACAGATGCTTGGCTTTTTTACAGAACATTCTGAATCTTACATTTCTTTGGCCATAACAAAGTTCCACCATTTTTCTTCCTGCATCTCTAGTGTTCAGCTACACACATGGACTTGGCAGCAGACAACATAAGATGATTTTGTTCACAAGATATCGAACATCTGAGGTCTGTTTTCACTCATAGTTTGAACCTGGCACAGTCCTTTCTGCAGCAATGTCTGTTGCTGAAGGGCATGTCCAGAACTTTACTGCCACTTTATTTAGTGTAAACTGGATAATTTGAAGCAGGCATCCTAAGGCCTGGACATCTCTTGTTAGGCTTAAAAAGGGTTTAAAGGAAAGACTTCAAAGTGAGAAGGGTTTCTACTGCACATTTGACTGATGTTGTCAGACAGAGAGGGCAGAAATACAGCACCATATGAAAGTGGTGAGCTCACAGAAGTATGGGAAGCAGGACTGATGATGAACTTAGCTGAATCCAAGAAAGAGATGTTTATTTGACTTGACTATTGATACTTGGCATGCTGTGTGCTCCTTCTGCTACTGGAATGCCAAGGATGCTGTCCTGTTTTTTGTTTTGTTTTGTTTTGTTTTGTTGATGTTGTTGTAAGCCTAATTCATTATTGATGTTGCTCTTTTTTCCTCTCAATGTGGCAAAAGGAATGGCCATCACATCATTAGTGCATATGTTGGTGAATCTGTGTCTGTAGCGACAAAGTAGTGCTGCAGCCAGCACTGTCAGTGAGGCTTGCAGGGCAGCTGGAGCCTGCAGCATCAATCTTGCACAACTTGGGAAGTCACCAATTCACTGTGCAGCTACTCTGTGCTCAGTAGGTCTTGCACAGCTAGTAAGGGCTATTTTTTGCAGAGCTGCTTTCACATGCGGGGTCAGGGACTGGCATGATCCATGTCTGAAAACAGCACTGTCAGACTCAATGGAGTCTTGTACCCCAAAGCACCCAGGCTGACTGAAAGAGCTCAATAGCCACTGGAGCTCAGGAGTCCTCACCTAGTCATCCCAGTGCCACATATCTGCTGCAAACTGACAAGCCTGTAAAAAGTTATTTGAGTATTTATTTTTCTGTTTACATAGCTCTTAAGAATCAGAAATCTTTCATGATCTTGGAAGCTTTCTTTGGAAGAGGATCCCAATTCATCCTTCAATGTAGCCATGAAATGAGCAAGCCACTGCCATCAGGCTGTCTTTTCCTCCTCTAAGGTTTGTATGGTGACCTTACAGGGTTTTAGACGCCTTGTGCATGGACAACTTGCAGTGCTTGTCTTGTTTGCTGACAGCACTTCCATGAACTGTGCATGCCTGTTTCCTTATCTGCTCTTCAGAACAATACTTCTGTCATCATATCATTATGGATCTTTGCAGAAGGACAGTTAACCCCTTTGCACTTCTTCAAAAGCAGCCAGAAATCATTTCTACTAATGCTCACTGAAGTGCAACTGCTTTACTCCTGTATCTTAAAACAACATTTTAAAATTCCTATAGTTAATAGTGTCTTCTGAAGAAAACTCCCATTACTGAAGCTTTGCAAAGGCATTTGCCCTTTATTTCCACTTTGGAGCACCCACCCCCAGAGTAAGTTTTTTCCTCTGGATGTACCACCTTACAGCTAATGAAGACCTTGGGTATTCCAGGACAGGAAAGGTAAGCAGGTTTGTATTCCAAAGCTGCTCTATATAGCTCTAGTTAAGCATACTATTTATGCACTTACCCTTTACAGATAGGTACTTCAGTGGAGAGTTTCAGGTTTTTAATTGTGCATAGGTTCCTGTGTAATTCAAAGGTCTTTTCACAATTTCAGTTTATTTTTTAGAAACAGTATGACATATGATGATATATGCATATTGTTTGTATGTCCTAGTCTTTTGTATCCTATGTGAAAAAATCACCTCTTGTTTTTCTGTGGTTTTGATTAATGTAAGAGAGATAAAAAGAAACTCCATAAGTTGGTTGTTCAGAGCTACACACCTGCATCTAAACAAAGGAGTCTTAGGTGTTTAGGTTATCTACCAGTATTCTTTTCTCAAATATTTGCCAGGACTTTCATAAGCAACAAAACTAAAATTTCATTATTTATTCCCCTTTTCTCTCTCTCTCTCTCTCTCTCTCTTTTCTTTTTTCTTTCCCTCAAAGTCTAAAATCCCAGTTAATGAGCTGCACCCATCCAAGAGGATCCATGCAGGGAGAGGAAGAACGAGAGAACATCCAAAGAAGGTTAAAACAACTTTTCTGAAACCACCTCATAATTTGGCTTGAATACCAGCTCTCAGCCCAGAGCATTCTGAAATTTGGGCTGGTATTTCATTCACTTATGTATTTTGTAAAGTGGGGAAGTCATGGTTTTGTTAGTTAGTTTGTTTTTGTTTTTAAGTTGTCTTTTGGCAGCCTTTGTGAATCAGCAATTCAACCAGTTATGCCACTACTCAAAGGTCCTCATGCAGACCTCATAAGGCTACATTTGAAAATGAATAAATATCTATATTGTTTCCATCGTATTTAACATTTTTCACATCAACATAATATGCCAACATAACAATAGGCCTGTTGTGCTAAATAGATGGCAGTCCACGTTATTCTACTGCTTTGGCTATCTATTCACTCACTAACAAATAAAACCATGTGATACCATTTTAATACTTTCAGAATATGTTGCAGAGAAACTCCAAAATCTAGGAATTAGTCTTAGCATGAACAAGCCTTTATCCTGAATTTAGAGAAAGTATTGAACTGCTGTGTCATCTAGCCTAGCTTCTTGTTTGCTGCAGAATATAGCCATCTAAAGTGCTTAATCTTTATAAGAGGCAGAAATTAATCAGACAAATCAAAATAAAGAAGCAAATCACAAGTATGATGCGGTGCATCCTTAAAAATTAGGACGTTAGATTGAAGTTAATTAAATAATGATTTTTAAAAGGCACACAAGCAATATTTCTAGTAAATGTGACGTGATTTTTCATTCCTTTAACACCTGTTTTATTAGTATGTATTTCTTTGATTAACAATGCTTATCATCTCACATTAGTAAGTACTGCTTTTTTCCTTTCCATATTTTTGAAGCAGAAAGCAATGTATGAGAAAAAGCTGGACAAGAAAATGAAAACTCCTGAAAAAAGGGGGGGCTAGATGTTTTTACTCCAAAAGATTAGGAAAAAAATTGCAATTGTTACTTTTTCGTTCAACTTTCTTTGTTGAAATCATAATTTTCCAGATTTTTTTACACATTCATTTTTGCCTACCTGAAAGTGAAAATATCCTGAAAGAAACTACTTTTAGATTACCTTTTGGAAAACAAAAGAGAGGAAAAGAAACTTTCCAAGTGGAAAAGGAAAGGAAATCCCCTATTGTAAAAATTTTTAATTTAGTGTTGGTTTACTCTAGTGTGGTAGGTTGTACTGAGTCTGGCTGGGATGTTAACTTACCCTGCAGCAGCTCATACAGTGCTGTGCTCTGCACTTGTAGCTAGAACAACAGTGCATGGGCTACTGCAGGGAAAGTTAACATCCCAGCCAGACCCAGTACATCTAGGCAGCCAAATTTCTTAAATATGGGACTTGAATATTTTCCTGAGTCCAATTCAGAGCACACTGAAGTCTATTAAGAGCCATAGGAGAAAGTGGTAGTGGTGGGGAGAGGTGAAGTGGGAGATAAAATCTGAGACTTAATTGAATACCTTTGAAGAATTTCAGCTGATATTCACTGTAATATATATTGCAAGACTGAATCTTGAATTTACTCTTAGGCTGTATAATTCCTTGGTATAGGCTTTCCTTATTCTGCATAAAATCTACCCTTTGCAGGTGAATTTTAGGTTGTTTGTTAGGAAGAATATTGTGCAACACTGCCTCAGTGACTTCCTAAGCTAGAATTCATGACAACCAGTGAACATTGTCCAAAGAATTACTATGGTGTGTTTGTTCTTTTATTCCACTCTTTTGTTTATAGCTGTTGGAGATAAAATCCTGGACTACAAGGACCCTTGAGCTGACCTGGCATGGCTGCTCTTAGGCAGTCTAATTATTGAGCTCATGAATGAAGAACAGGAACAGACTATTCACAGAGAGGACATAATATCATTTCTGAAGGCTTTTAAGGGCAGGTGACATAAATCTATGCAGTTTTGGGGGAGAGAGAGTAGAGAGAATGACTAGGCAGGGAGATGGGCTCTATCTTTCTATTGTTCTTGATAAATACTATGCTAAAAGTCAGGGAAATGTGCCAGGAAAATGGAAGAAATGTGGTACTAGAAAAGAGCATAAAGGTTAATCTGAAGTATTTTTTTCCATTCGCTTGTGCCAGTGACATACATGAATGATCCAGCAACTAAGGATAATGTGATAATGGCAATGCCATTGTGGATTGCATTTCTGTCACATCTGTCCACTGCTCATGGTCCTTCTTCATATCAGAGAGAACAGGGAAGATGTGTTTCCAGTTAGGCCAATAACGCTCTGTCAGGAAGGTAAGCTTCATCATCACTTACTGAATAAGCAATAACATATTGATCATTCAGGAAACATCCCCTGTAGAGCTGCTTGCCCTGGAAAATCAATCCTTGACTAACTGGTGCATTTAGTAGAATCAGAATCTACAATAAATCCTAAAAGGCTTGCATTTCACTTTCTGTACTTTTAGATGGGTATCTGCTTGTGTTTGTTATTTAGGATGCTCAAGCATTTGTTCTAAGTTCATGATTTTGTGTAAAAAATACGTATACTAATGCTCTTTTCTTTAGATCTTCAATCACCTCAGGTCTTTTAAACTTCTTCGATTTTCAGTGGCCTCAGAGTTTGGAAAAAATAGTGCTTAAGTAGGTAATCTTCCTCTCTACTGCCAGGGTACCATGAAGAGAAGAGAACTGCAAGTAGCTTCCAGTGGCAAAGAGACAGGATGAGTATTAGGACAACTTTTTAATTGTAGGTGGACTGAAACATTGGAATAAGCTGTATAAGGCACTACAGAATACTTTTTCTTCTGTAATGTAGTGTTCTTCTGCTCGTTAGCAAAAATACAGTTTGACATACATTGATGGAACTAGTGGCTGATTGTACTTTATGGTCATCATTTAAGGGTCTAGATCAAATTGCTATGTTAATGAAAGAAATCACCAAGCGACTAGAAAAATATAATATTATTACAGCCTTACTGTTTTCCCAGAACTCATTCAGATGGATCTTGGCAGCTTGGAATTTTGATATCAAAAAAACACATAAACAATTATTTAACTTTCTAATAGTATTGTCCCTCATAAAAATTTGAGTAGAGATATATTTGCATCTTGTGCAGAAAAAAAAAAATTAAAAAATGGCAAACTAGAGAATTAACATGAACATAATCAAAATCCTATGGCCTGACTGCTAAAATCCAATTACCACACAACCCTTCCTAGATTTGGCATATATGTAGCAAAAGAGAGTCATTAGCTGGGACTCCATAGCCGTCATTTTACCCAATCAATGAAGAAGTCTAAAGAGAAGAAAAATGGAATATATTGGAGATGCTGCAATTGTATTGTGGAGCCATAGAAAAATCTATGACTTAAACATCAAACAATGAATTTTCACCTGAAACATTTTTATATTTCCTGAAAATGTTACAGTTGGAAGTACATCAGAAGTCATAGGCATGTTTAAGTGCTTTCTGAAGTAGAGAGGGCTTTGAACCCAACTTAAAGGGCAAACTTGGTCATAAAAAATAGGGTTGGAAAGAATCACAGAAGAAAATGATATAGGTAAAGCTGAAGTGGATTTCTTTCCTAAAAGATCCAACAGATCTTTGAAATCTTCTGAGATGGAGGTTCCACCAACTTTGATTGGCAACTTGCTCCTGTGTTTCATTGTCTGTATTGATAGAAAGCTTTTAACTTCTGATGCAGATTGAAATCTCAGTTGCTACAATTTTAGCACACTGATACTGGTTTTACTCACAGTATGCATGGAGATTATCTTTATCTTTCTCTAGCTACCTCTTACATATTTGAAAAGCCATTATACGTCAATATATTGAAAAGTGGAAAAGTGAATATACACTAGTCTTTCCTCTCTAAAGAAAATAGCACTTTTTTTTTTTCTTTTTTCTTTTTTTTTCCTTTTTCACATTTCTTCTATTAAATGTTTGTTGTCTTTTTTCTAGCCCTGTTCCCTGAACTTTCCAGTTGATACACATCCTTTCTGGATTGCCATGTGGAAAATTAAGAGACTTTACATACCAGACATGTAAAGAGGTATCCTGGAAGAGACACAGCCGGTAGACTATAGTCTTTAGTCTGACAGAATGGAATGCTTCTAGACTCATGCCTATGGAAAACTGAAGTGCAGGCAGAGGTGAAGCTGTGCTTAATCAGTCAAACTGACTGTCATTGAACTTCATCAAAATCTGACACCCCAGATAAGGTTGTCAGTCACTTGCAGATGATGTATCCATTACATTATGAATTCAGTATATCTGGAGTCGGGTTCTGCTGCACCACACCCTTGTGAAGCTGAGACTTCTGTGCTTTAGCAGACATTAACTAAAGTATGAAGTAGCTGTCATTTTCCTTTGAACAAGCTGTTAGCATCAATCAGTTGGATCATTGTGCTTGAGTATGGTTGACTGAGGTAGCTATTCTAACAGACAGATATCCTGTGTGATTGGTAATACACCAATTTTATCGTTGGTTCCCTTAAATTGCATTTGATGTTTTGGATGAAATAAAACACCTATACTGAGCTCAACAGTGCAGGATTTTGCTGGAAAGTAAAAGCTTTCTCTGATGCTTCGTAGAAACAGCTGGCATTTGTCTGTAAGTTTGAAAAAGAAAGGATTTTTTAATATGATATTGTGCTTAAGAAATATCATTCTGTGGAAAAAAATATTGACAACGCAGAGGATTTAGAGCTGCATTTATTAACTTTTCTACATGAGTCTACTCTGTAAACAATTAAGTACATAAGATTAAAAGGCTAAGGCAAACTTTACTAAATCATTGCCTTTCATGTAAAATAGCTATAAAAGACAGTTAAGCACATATTTCACCCAAAACAGAAGAAGACATAATGACATTCAGTAGTTAGAATAACCTTTTGAAGGGTATTTGCAGTAGGTGATATAAACTGAGGTGGAGAAAGGAACAAACTTGGAAGAAAGAATCAATCCAGATTTAAAAGTGTGAAGAATGGATTAGAAGATTTCTGGAAAAATGTTTGCTGTAAACCAGGAAACTGCCTTCATCTGTTTTCATCCTTCTTGTGTTCAAGAGGGTTCAGATGCTTATAATACAGGAGCAGCATCGAATGCATACTGTCATCTAGCTTTTTCACAAGTTCTCATTCTGCCTTATTTATCTTCAATTTATCTTCTCTTTCTGGTCAGGAAGATAACCCCAATGCTAGAAACAAAGTGTGTTGTCACAAAGATATATTACGAGTTAGGACTCACCTATTGTAATCCGGAAGAAATAGTGGATATGCGTTCAGACAATACAAAGATCATTTTATCTTTGTTACTATAGAAAGAAGAAAAAAAATGATTTCCCTTTGAACACTGTTGTTTGAACAATGACTGCAAAATGTCTAGGCAAGCTGAAAAGCACAGTTACAAAATTCTACTCTGTAATAATAAAAAAGCTTAAACAGAGGGCCATTTGGCCAGAGGTCAGGATGTCCCAGCTTACATGAACAGCTATGAGGATATCTTAGTTTCTTACTTCAGCATTGTAGCACGAATAAATGGCTAGGTGTGAAAGCGTATCTTAATGGCCAAGCTCAGACAACCAAGTCTAATAAAACAGAAGAATTTACTCTCAGAAAACAGATTGTCCTAGAAATGATGCAAGTCCTGGACATGCAGTGGAAACTCAACTAGCCAAAGTGTGATGCCAAAAGCTAAATATTGAGGAAAAGAGTCAGCTGTCTCTGAGCTGATGGATGTCCTGTGGAGGCCTACAGCCATACCAAGGACTGTAAAGATAAATTAGCAAAACAATTTTTGAATATTTTCCTGGACTTGAACTTAAATTATAACAGCCTAAAGAACACCAAGGATGTGAGCCAACAATTTGCCCTTGTCTCAAAGAAGGCTAATGGCATCCTGGGCAAAGCACAGCCAGCACTTGAGGGAAGAGATCCTTCCCCTTGGCCAATCCCCCAGATGATTTCAGTGAGGCTTTAGTGCATAGTTCTGATGAGAAGAAAGATGGGAACACCAGACTCCACACAGAATTAGGTGAAATATTTTTGAACACTTATGGATGGTAAAATAGGTGATACCCTGGAGGATTTGGCAGCTCATTGTGACCTCTGGCACACAATGTTAAAAATAAGCATAAGTAAATATAAGAAAACTTCAAAGATGGCGGAGGATGGTATTTTTCATAGCAGATAATTTAGAGGTAAATTTGGGGCTGTATGCCTGTCTGATCCGAGGCTTTGTAGCAGTACTCTGTGGTGGGTTGCCGGCTTCTTCTAGGTCTGTTAATACTGATACGTCAGAAAGGGGTAGGTTTGACATATTCAACTACTGTCTGCATAATTTTATTGCAAGCCCTTTGGAAATCAGTAGGATGCCCATTGACTCAGCACAGAACACTAAAGGCAGTACTTTACTAGTACTAGCCCTAGTGGAAGGGCTAGTCCATGTGGCATGGATAACATTTACAAAAAATTAGCTGATATATTTGTAGATTGGCAGTGCATGGAGTTGAAAGCTAACAACATGAACTGGAATTAAAAAAATAATAATAATTTGGGTTAGGAGGAAGTGGGCATATACTTTTGCTAACAAGGTAATGTAACATTGCATGGAGCACAACCCTCCATAAGCTTACACTACCAGAATTTCATGTTTCCCATTAAATAATGTTTGGATTTTTTAAGGCTTTTTTTCTTTTAAGCAGTTTCGATGTTATTCCTATGCTACTGCATGGACTGAACAAATCACTGCAGGAACTGACTTGATGTTGCTTAGTATTTTCAGGTTTGAGGTTTCTACTCAGTCTTCCTGTTCTGGGCTAGCTGTGGTTTAAAAACCTTTTTATGCTAAGCAGTGCCAGTGCCATTAATTTGAGGGGAGGTATTGATGCAAGAATATAAATTATTAAACAAAGAAATTACTTGCAACATTGAAAGTCTAAATTCCCCTGAGAGGGAGCACTGAACCAGACTGATGAATACCTAGAGATGATTAATGATTAGAAATGAACTCTTCAGTCATCAGTCATGTGGGGAGGGTTTTGTGAGTGAAGTCCCTGTAGCATATCCTTGAAATTGCTTAGAATGCTGCTCTTCCAGTCAAACGTGGGTGTAGACTCAAGCGTGGCAATCCTCATGCCTTCTTTAAATGATGAAGTAGAAAATAAAGGAATTTGTTGCTCAGGGACACGACCATACTCAGCAGGAGAATCATCTCTTCCTTGTTTTCCATATTTTGCAGAGGTGCAAGTGGTGCTGGCCTATTAGCTAACACAGTAATTACGAGGCTGCCAGCGCAGACTGATGTAACAGAAGTTTTGCAGAGGTAGAAATAAATGAATATCCCAAGTCTGCTATAATGTGATGTTTCTATACTGCTGCTTGTGGAGCTCTAATTTGCTAAAAGGAGATAATACAATGAGTTTACATATTCTCATAACAGAGTTTCTGACACTAAAATATATTAAATTGGTTTATGTTTTTACATGTGCCTTTTCTGCCTCCAATACTCCTTGTGTTTTGTTTTATTTTTATTTTTTTTTATTCTGTTCACAGGCATACATTATTTTTCTTCCTCCTTTCTAGCCCATGTACCTGTTATGATTTCCCTGGAATCTATGGAAAACCAATCAGCATTCACATTCACCCCTACACCAGTTTGTTACAAAGTGTGTTGATGAGGAATGGCTGATGAATTCCCAGCAACAGATGTTCTGTCCAACTGCTAACAGTTAAATGAGAACCATGCAAAAGTATACTGCTCAGTCATCATCATGTTCTAACAACATCTGGTTCATTTGCAGGTGCCCTCTGCTTCAGTAACATTATATTAAACTCCATGCATCATATTATAAAGGTAACTGATGTTTTTTGTGTCAGGCTGTGGGGGAAAATAGCTGCTTTTGTCAGTAAATGAGTCTACTGCTAACTGTTGAAATAAAATGACTGGAAATAAATGAGTTTATAAGCTGTTGTTTAGATTCCCAACTTCCAGGTAAGCCAGAAATTTAAGTGGCTGTTTTCTGTCTAACAGAAGTTTTTCCTACACATTTTTTTAATGTTAGTTGTATGTTCTTACTTCTGATAATATTATTACTTCTGGAAATACAGTCACAAGTTGTTAATCTCCTCCTGATTGCGAAGTTTCATAGTCCAGAGATTCACAAAGTTAGGTTTTTGGAAGACTAAATAATTGGTAGAATGTCAAGCTGGGACAAAATTTATCTGCAGTATAGTAGTTGGTAGAGTGAAATGATGTTGCCTTGTCAGTATTAGAGTATTACAAATGGGAAAACTCAGCATTGCTGTTAAATTCATGCTTGACTGGGATGTGTACAGGTTATTCCCATTGCTGATAATCTGAGTCAATTTTTATTCCAAATTTCATGATGTGGAGTGGAGAACTGACTGAAGATTTCCAGGTCAGCCATGTTGTTAATACAGTGTCTTCTCAAACTTCAATATTGCTAACCAGGTTATTTGTACTTAGCTCCATAGGTCCTACAGCTGATGCTCTCTCTTTTGCATCATTGAAGAATGGAGCTACCTTGCTACCACTGAAGTGGTTGGTACCTTGGACCTAGGCAGTGTGGTATCTTCTTGGCCCTCCAAATCAGTGGGGAAAGCAGAGGGAGTTGCAGGACTCTGGAACTGTAGCTGTGGAGCTCTCTGGATTTAACGGGATATGCATTCTTACCTGTGTGGAAGGAAAGGCTGCTGGAAGGTCTGATAGAAGACATTATAGCCTTATCAATCAGCAGTTTCTGTTGAGAACAGCCACAAATAAAGCAACCCTGTTGCAGAAAATCTACAAAAGCTTTGTGACCCTAAGCCGTCTTTTCTTTGAGACATGAAAAAATCTAAAATGAATTCTGCTTCTGCATACAAGAGGCCAAGTTAAATCTTTAATCAAACATATGTGGCTCATCCAGAGTCATTTTTACTCTTTTATGCATTCTCGTACTTACCATGATTTAAAGACTTTTTCCAGAGATACAGAGATCCAGATCCAGAGATTTGATGGGAACACAGTGAAATTCAGTTCTTACTTGCTCATCTGAGGACTCACTCTGCTTTAATTTGATTTGTCAGTGAATCTTCCAAATTAGTAGAACACAGGGTACCTGTATGAGGGGACATACATATTCATGCTGCTGAAGTAGAATTTCAGTTGTCTGGTATTTGGGGGCTTATGGTGATACTATTTTTGTTTCTTTCAAAGCATTTATTCGAATATGTACAACTACTAAGGGTATCACAGTTTATCAGCTAAGCACTGCTACAATAATCCAAATGAAATATTGGGTTGGAAGTCTAATTTTATAATTGGTTACATAGATGAAATTACACAGATAAAGTTTCCATCAACTGCAATGGGAGCTGCATATATGAGAGTGGATCTCAACCAGTTCCATCTTGGGAGCTGTGAATACTGCTTGGAAATATGAGCCATAATGCCCTCCTTGGCTGGCATAAATCTGGTGTAAATATGAGCGGCACTTGGTCAGCATGCTGGTCACTTTTGACCCAGACATCTCCTTGATCATTTGGTAACCACAGAAGAAATTCTCTGTCTGCCGCTGTTCCTCATTATGTGTCTAAAGACTTTTTGTTGATGCAATTAGTCCAGTCTATTGTGGTGTGGTGTGGTTAGAGCTCTGACTGATGGTTGTTCTTCAGTTCAAACACCAAATATAAGAAGCTTCTATGTAATTAAGTCTTTTAGCTCTGCAGTGAATACCAAGACTGTGGAACGGTACTTGACATTTATGGCTCCTCTACAGAAGCATACATGAGATCCAGCTCTTCTGCTTTTTTTTTTTTTTAATTTATTCTCAGATCAGTGTAGCAGTATTAAAGATATTTCTCCCAAACAATCAATTTAAAATGCACTGCCCTGTCTTGCTCTTGATGCCCTTACTGACATCTTCACGGTAACATGATGCACTTACGGTAAATGAATTCACAAATGCTTCAATGAAAAAGAAGGTTTTTTTTTCCTCTGCTTCCTAGAATTTGTCTCAATTAGATCACAAGCTCTTTTTAAGCGATAAGAGAGAGATGAACTTGGGTGTTTACAGTGCTGAATGGCTGCTGTTAACAATTTTAGATAGGGTTGAGGTTTTGAGATACATATCTGATTTGCCAGTATTGACCTAGAGGAAAGGACAGGGTTTAATTCTTAGAAATAATAGATCAAAGCCACACTGAAACAATGTGGCAGAAAAATCCCTGAGCTGTTGCTTGGTGGTTTTCAGACAAAGGACTTGGTTGGTGTCAAGAGCTCTCTCTTTAGCATTTTTCTCCATTGTATATAATGCATGTGCCCATTTGGGCACATTTGTCTACTAGCCCCATTTCTTTTGTTGTGGTTAGGTCACAGATGGGATTTCCTTTGCTAGTGATAGTATCACTGACTCCTGTATTCTGTTTCAAGGCTGAGTTTCATATTCTACAGGGAAGCGGTCTGTCAGGATGACAGCACCAGGCATGTCACTCAGTCAAGACCAGTCACTGAGCTCTTAAACAGGGATGTTCTGGGGAGAATCTTTGTATGCTGTTCTCCATAGAAAGTAGTTTCACAGGAAGCATGGAGATGTGTTAGTGTTGTTCAATACTAAGTCTTCCTTCAGAGATGCAGCTTTGATTAAATTTGGCAGCATTTTTATTTTTGCTGCGTTCCACCTCATGCACCTCACCATGTAGCAAAGAGGGCTGTGTAGGTTAAATGTGAGAAGATGAATATGAGTGACACTGATTTTTGGAGCAGATGAATTGTACTTTTGGGGTATTCAACTGTTAGCAGTAGCTTTTTTTCTGTCTTGGGTGAGATCAGCTGTGGAGCCTTTGTTTTGTAGTTGTTTTTAGTACTGTCTCTTCTGTGCTTGAATTGGTTTGAAGAAATCTGATCTATTGAGTTTTCTGTCTAAACTGAGATAGCTGACTGAACATTGCGTTTTCACCCATCATAACAGAATATTTACAGGAAAGTTGTCTTCTGAATTTTGCTGAGAGCATTTTGTGCACATGTATAAGGGCATTCTCTGTGAGATTTTGATCTCTTTCTTCTGGATTCATTTCTACATTCCTAGTTCCTTCCTAAGAGCATATTTGTTCAATTTGCACTGCATTTCTCTTTTACCTTTTCTTCTTGATCTTGGCAGTTTTTTTTACTAAGTGTAAACCACTCATCCATGTTGTGGTTTAACAGCAACAGACAGCTAAGCACACACCATCACTCTCACTCCTCCTCCTCAAAAGGACCAGGGGAGAAAATACAATATAAAAGTTCATGGGCTGAGGTAAGGACAGGGAGTTCACTCACGAAGTATTGTCACTGGCAGAAAAGGCACAGTTTACAGAAGATTAATCTGTTGCCCATTACTACTAGACTAGAGCAGTGAGAACTAAAAGGAAACTACAAACACCATCCCCTCATGGCTGCATCTGGAGCAGCCTCCTCCAGGCCACATCCACCTGCTCCACCGGGGGCTCCTCCACCCATGGGGGGGCTGCAGTGTGGAGATGTGCTCCATGGGGGACCCGTGGGCTGCAGGGGGACAGCCTGCTCCACCAGGGGCCTCTCCACAGGCCGCAGGGGAACTTGTGCTGCGTGCCTGGAGCACCTCCTGCCCTCCTGCTGCACTCCCCTCTCTCAGCTCTCAGCCCTCTCTCCCAGCTGCTGTAGCGCAGCAGGTTTTCCCTTCCTTCAGTCTGGTCTTCTAGAGGCACAACCAGCGTTGCTTATTGCCTCAGCTCTGGCCAGTGGCAGATCCTTTTTCAAGTTGGCTGGAAATGCTCAATACCAATTCTGTCTGGCATGGGGTAGCTTCTGGATTCTTCTTACAGAGGCCACCCCTGCAGTCCCACTGCTACTAAATCCTTCCCACATAAATCTGATGCAATCTGTGATTTGGACAATATCAGTGCACAATATCATTTCTATCCAATAGAAGCTGCTAATGATTTTACCTAGATTTCTTTTAGATAGTACATGTATTTTCAAGAGGTTTTGAGTTTTCCTTACAGCGCTGTCCTACTTTTTCTAATATTAGATTTCATGGCCCATTAGATTGTTGTTATTATTGACTTTTTCTTCCTGGTTTTCCAGAGGATTTAATGATTCTAGGAACTCATGATTTTTCACTAGATTTTCTGGCTTACTTACATCCCTTTCTCTTTAAAATCTCAGTGTGGTTTCATTCTTCCTTTATTTTCTGTATTGGATCATCGATCAAGAATAATTCAGACCCATTGTCTGATAACTGGGCTATCTGTCTTGTAAAGAAAGGGATTCATTTTTAGTTACTCCTTGTTCCTATGTATTAAGTATTTATCATTTCTTTGTATTTCTTCTCTGTAGTCAAAATACCTTCTCTGTTGCCCTGAAACACTACTTTCCGTGTAAGTTTATTATTGTAGTGATATGTAAGGCTGCAAATCAGAAAAGAATATTTTAGGGTTCTCCAGAACTCCCTGTTTCCTGAAGAAGTCCCCGATTTTCTGCTGAGATTTGGATTTCTTGTACATAAAATGTTGTTACAGTCATGAATTCACTTTTACTTTATTGCTTTGCTTTTCTTCTTGACTTGAAGGTATGCTTGGTGATTTAGAGTAAGAGGGTGGATACTCAGGTTTGAAGCAAGCATCAGATAAGCCTGAAATTCTTATTGCTTAATGCATGCTGCTTCAGTCTTAACTTCATTCTTCAAGGGGCTAACAGCTGGTTTGTGATGCTACTGTCCCTCTGAGAGGGAGAAAACATACATTAGAGTGCAGACGTGTGCTAGATATTGTATCAACAGGGGCTGATGTGATGTGAATCAATAGATTCCTGTGTTTCCACTTTTCCCAGTGTTGTGGTTTAACCCTGGCAGGCACAGCACCACACAGCCGCTTGCTCCATCTCCCCAGTGGGGATGGGGGAGAGAACTGGAAAGGTAAAAGTGCAAGAACTCATGGGCTGTGACAAAGACAGGTTGCCAGGTAAAGCAAAAGCTGTGTATGCAAGCACAGCAAACCAAAGAATTCATCACTGCTTCCCATCGGCAGGCAGGTATTCAGGCAGGAAAACAGGGCTCATCACATGTAACAGTTCCTTGGGAAGACAAATGACATCACCACCAATGTTCCCTCTTCGTCCTTCTTTACCCCAGCTGTTATTGCTGAGCATGACACCACACTGTGCGGGACATCCCTTTGGCCAGTCTGGGTCAGCTCCTGGCTGTGTGCCCTCCCAGGTCCTTGTGCACCCCCAGGTACCTTGCTGGCAGGGCATCACCAGAAGCTGAATTTGTGGTTTTACAGCAATGGACAGCTCTGTGTGAGCAGTGTTCTGCAGCAACAAAAGCATCACCACCATTTTAATCAAAAATCCAAAACATGGCATCATACAAGCCTCTACAAAGAAAATAACTCTATCCCAGCCAAAACCATGACACTTAGATATGTGACTGAGATGAGAGCACACAGACAGTGTGTTGATTGCTGTGGTTCAGCAAAAGCTGGGGACACATTCCCTGCACATCTCTTCTGAACGTGTGTGCTTCAAAATCTGGGCAGCAGTGTCGGGCTATCTCTGCTTTGGACTCTCTGTGTGTGAGTTACTGAAGTGGAAGACAGGGAACTGGAAATATCTATTGTTTGAAATCAGTGTTTTACCTGAAATATTAATTTCAGTAAAGCTTTCTTTTCTAATTTCCAGAAATCAATTTAAAAAATAATGCTACAGATAAAGCTGTTAATCTGGAGATTCAGCCAGTTGTCTGTGATGTGGAGAAATCCAGATCCAAGCAAGTGCCCTGCTTGTTTTAGAGTATGTGTTTTCCATCTCCCAGATGATTATATTCATTAAAAAAAAAAAAAAAAAAAAAAAAAAAAAAGCTTAATAGCTGAAAACATTGGTCTTCTTTGTACGGCACATTTTAGTCTCAGATTTCAAAGAACTTCTCAATTCCAGAAAAGTTGCACCATTCCAGTTGTTTTGGGAGAGAAAATGGAAGTATCAAGCAGATAGCAAGCCTTGCTAAGCTCGTAGAGGACATAGAACTACAGCCAATGTCTCTTAGTGATCCACTTCTCTCTTCATATACCCTCTATTTCTCATAGTTATTTCTATACACAGTAATACTAACAGGCTCTTCAGATGGAGATCATCTTTTTTATTCCATAATATTATTCATCTTATTAGAGCTTATCTTATAATATTATTATATATTATCAATTATATTAATTATACATTATATTATATATATGTATAAAATACATTATATTAATTATATTTTATTCATCTTATTAGAGCTTATCTTTCTTTGAATGGTATCTATTACTTTTCATGGCAAGCAGGTTCTTTGATTTGAGAACAAAATGTATTTATGGAAGGCAAGGTCCCTGGGATCTAGTTCTGACTGATGCTTTTCTTCAGTTTTGTCTGAACAATTATTCCTGTGCCTCGGTTTCAGCAGTTCTTATGGATAAACTGTAAACAAGGTCTGGCTTAATCAGCGTTGTGGGGCTGAAAACAAAATAACTGTATAATGTGAAAAAGTGTTCTCATGAAGAAATTACTGTCACAGAGCAAACAATGCCAGAGTTCTGCTCCTAGTCTTGTTGTGAGACACTGGGAAACTCAGATGTAATTACTACCCTGCCTCAAAGGGATAACTATGTGAGGATAAGTATATTAAGACTTAAATGATCTGTGATGGTAGAAGATGTTGGCCAAGGAAAGTCCGCATGGAATTTTCTACTAACCTTTTGTCAGCTCTTGAATTTGATTAAACAGCTACCATTTTGCT